TTAATAAACGGATATTGGAGGAAAACCATTCCATTTAACATTTAAACAACCGTTATTAATTTACATCTCTGATTTGATCTATTTGATCATCTATGTAGTTTTTACTTAACTCAGAGGCCCATGTTTGAAATTTTGTGTTTTTCTTTATTTATTTATAAATATGTAAAATTTGACATTTTCATTCTTGACCCATCTTTGCAAGGATTTTTTTTTTTTTAGCCCCGTTTTAAACCACTTGGGAGTTTAAAACTTCAAAAACACGTAAAGAAGCCTGTTTTAAGATATATAAAAAATATAAGCCCTACATATTGCTAATTAGCCTTAATACTCTAAAAGCAGAAATGGCTGCCACACCATCACTAGTGACCTTTCACAATATGTTCTTTTTACCTATTTCTGGCTGCATTTATCTGACAAAAAGTATTCCACACAGACCAGTCTACAAACCAAGTATCTTTCTATCCCCACAGGCAAAATGGTAGCTACACAACTTCTATTTAAAAAGACTGAATTGGCTTAGACACTTATGATGACACTAAAATCAGTAAAAGTGGTAAAAGAAAAAAGTCTAAGATAGATATGTCTTTTATGCTAATATTTTTTATCCACACTTGATTCACGCAGACAGTGGATTTGCTTCAACCAAAATGGATGTCTGATGAGCTGCTCATTACACATACTTACAGGACAATTATGGCCACATTCTGTAAATACAGGACTTGTCACCCATTGTTATAGCATGAGTCATTTCTGTATAGCTTTTGAACAACAAGGTCTGTTGTTGTCAATACACTTTAAAGTTGCCTTCCTATAAAAATGCAGCTGTTAACATGTCAATGAGGCTAACTTTTTTAATGTAATAAGACACATAATGATTAGAAATAAACTTCATAGAAAATTATTGCCTTTATGTACACTGAAAAAATGCAAAAATAACTTTAATATTCTTGCAGTAAGAAACGACAAAAAAAATATGAGCTCCAACTAGATGGAGAACAATAAAGAAAGCCATGAAAAGGAAAAACGTTGCATTTCCCAGTGAGCTGTGAACCCAAGCTCAGAAGCTTGCTTGTCAATTAACAGCATAAATTATTAGATGATCCATTTACATCAGAGCTTGAAACTTGAATCTGGTAGCTGCATCATACAACTTAAAACTTTCTCCACATTTTGTTATGTTAAACCTTTATTCCAAATTGAGTAAATTAAATCTGTTTCCTCAAAATACTGTTCTGAAGACACTCAGAGATCTTAGCAACACCCTTTGGGTCGTTGTTCTGCTGAAAACTAAGCTGTGCCCCCAGTCTGAGGTCAAGGTCGCTGTGGTGCAAGTTCACATACAGGATGTCTTTGCACACTGCCATCTTTTTCTCTATCCTGACTGGTCTGTCAGTTACTGCACCAGCAAACCATCTCTATAGCATGATGCTGCCACTACCATGCTTTGCTGTGGCGATGGTATTGGTCTGCTGAGGAGCTGTGCCTGGTTTCCTCCTAGAATCCAAACAAAGGGTTCAATCTTAGTCACATCAGACCAGAGAATTTTACTTTTCTTGGTTTGAGAGTTGAAAGAGCTTATACTGATATTAGTATTCTAATCAAAAGTTTAAAAAAAATTCACTTAGAAGATTTTTTTTCTACTTAAAAGATTGAAATACAGGAATACCAAATCCACTCACTACATATTGTACATTTCTTGCCATCTCAACAATCTTTCAAAATTATGCATGCATGTCTGAATTATTCTAATGTATTAGTTGGTGAAAGAAAGTCAAAATATTTGCTGAGTTAAGTTGAAAAAACTACATCCCATCCAGCCAATAACTTATACAACACCAAAACAAATATAAATTCTTTTTCTTTTTACAAATTTTGTAAACTGTTTTAAATTGTGTTTAATATGAATCCACTTACTGTTCTGAAGGAGAGAGGTTTGGGTAAGCACCTCTATAAGAAGGTTATTGCCGTAACACCAGTGTACACACAGTGAATTCCCCCTGAATAGAACTTGCCTGAAGCAACACCTACCGTAGTAAATGGTTATCCATGTGGACTTCCCATCTCATGCTGTTTTGTCTGTGTGTGCAGAAGGTAGCAGCCGGGCCAGGAACCGTATGACACAGAGCAAAGGCTCCATGTCTGCAGGGTGTTCCACGGAGCATGATCATGAAAAGCAGAAACATGAAGAAAACTGCAAAAGGTTGAGCCTCAGAAACGTCTTTCCCCTGCACATCAGTTAATTTCCTCGTTTTCCCTTTGGTTTCACATCACTTTTCTATTATGTTTCGAACATGGTGAAAACGTAATACAAAAAAAGAAATCTAATCATTACACCCTCAAATGAAAAAATGGATAGCTGTGAAAAATGTACGGGAATTGTTATTTTTCACATTCTAATTCCCATCACAAGGAACCGAAAACAAACACATGCTGTATAGCAGATTGGTTTGGTGCTTTTCGCCCCGAGCCATGCAGCACACACTGATATTAGTTTTAAATACAGATTGCAGGCAATAATAGAACAGAAGAGTCCATGCCTGCCACATGGGCCTGGTCTGCAGTGCCTCACTCTGCCGGCTCAGCAAGACAACTTCAATCAAAAAGCACAAATAAAACTAGTTCTTTGGGCTCTGTCAACTATAAACTGTTATTGATCCCAGCAAAATGAAATATGTTCATGTTGATCGATCAAACATATTATCTGTGTTTTCCAGTCTATTACCAGCAAGTGGAAACTCGAGAGGTGTCAGTAAATACAGTTGGGTCACGCCGGGTAGATTCCTTTCAGGCTCTAACGGCTGTAAAAAAAAAAAAAAAAGGTGACCAAACATAAGCACTTATACTTAAAGGCAATGGACCTGCATCATGGCAAAAAGCTAAGAGCCTGGGGTGTGTACTAATGTGAAAAAAACACTTCTGTTGCACGTTCAAGGTCTAGTGCCACTTCCGTTTGTACTGTATATCTCTTCAGCCCTTGCTAATACCCCCCCCTCCCCCCCACCCCGTTTCCACTCCCAACCCTCGCTATCGTCTACATGCGAAAGCCTTCCAGCTGGCATGGAGTGCCTGTTCTTGGCAGGTTGGAGGGAACATGAGAATTAAACCTATATCACCCCCGTAACCAGTTCTCAAATATCAGTGGAGTCCAGCACTTCACCAGGGACCGGTGAAAGGAAAGCATGTCAGTGGAACAAAAACCGTCTTCTGGCAGAGCTCCACTCAACTGTTCTGCTTGCTGCCACTACAGGAGAGAAGTTTTTCATGAAGAATTACTGAACGTGCAAATGATCGCATGGAGGAGGGATTCATGTGGAAGTTGGATAACAAAGTAAAGGATTGGTGCTTCATCTTAGACCCCACTTTTGAGGGCAAACTGCACTTGGAAAATTATAGGAGCAACAATAAAACTTGCTGACTTTATTATTTGAGGTTATTTGCTGAAATACAATTAATCCTATCTAGGGTCAAAATAAAAAGCAAAGTGCCTGACTAGAGTTAACTGTTTCCTTTAAACAAACCATATTAGCACAAGATCTGACCTGCCCACCATGTACTGGACAGCAGTACCTCTCCCCCAGTGACTGCTAGAGACAGAGACCAGAATCTGCAACCCTTCAAGGATTAATACCTAGTCAGAATACTGCAAGTGGGAATTGGTGATTATTGTGGGTTGTTCAATTTATATTCAAACGTAAGAGCCATGGTTAAAAAAATTGGCTAGAATGGATGGATGGATGGATGGATGGATGGATGGATGGATGGATGGATGGATGGATGGGTGGATGGACAACAAAAAAGAAAGGCAGAAAGAGGTTGGTTAAGCTGAATTAGCCTTAAGAATATATCTATTGATGTTGAGTCCATTAGGCAAGAGGCCTCAAATGCATTTCAAGAAAGTGTTGAGTAAAGACTGTGAATATTAGCATATGTGGATTTTTTTTTCCACTTTCCATTTTTAATATACTTACAAAAAAAACTCCAAATGTTTTCTGTACATTTGTCATTAGAAATCTGAGTGAAAAACATTTTTAGATAAGGTTAAATGTTACTAAATATGAAGTTCTGTTGTGGTCCACTCTACATGGTGGAGTTTAACCGTAAAGTTAAACTCAATTTTCTATTATTCTGTTACAGCAACTAAAATAGCAGTATTAACAGCATCAAACACCTAATAGCTTACATATCTGTGTAGAGTATTTGTGTTTAGGAAATAAAGTGTAAAAACTTCTTATCATCTTGAGTAAGTTCCGTCTGGTTATTTATGCTGTGTGAAATTCATGCCCTGAACATCACAAAAACAATTTCGGTCTGTCCTTTTACATTTCTGTAGACAAACAGGAGAGTGACAGATTGTCCACAAACCAACAGCAGCCTCATCAGCAGCAGGAACATCCACCTCCACTACAGTGATGGAGCGACTCTGATAGCTCCTTTATTATGGAAAATTATTTTAAACAGCAGAAAACGGCTGAGGCTCATTTTTCTCGTGTTTCTGCCACTATCACTCCAGCTATTGATAAGATGTCTAAATTTATTGCAGAATAATTCTGCGGGAAAAGAGATAAAAGGTTGCTGAATAAAATATGAGGCGAAGGCTGTAAATTGTAGCAATGCATATCATTTCATTCAAATGTAGGACGCAATTACCATCTGCTACACTCATCAGTCCCCTCCTTTATGACTTAATTATATGTTTAATGCTATCAGATCAAGGAAAGGGCAAAACAGATGAATGAGAGAGAAAGAGAAAAGATTCCGCAACAAGACAAAAGGCAGATGAAAAGTAACATAAAAGGATGGAATTGATTTCATTCACCGGGAAATAGAAAAAGTTAATTTAGATACAACGTTCCCTCATCTCCTGCGTCTTTGTAAGATAATAAACGCAGTGTGTCGCCAATAGGTCCCAAAGCAGTCAAACAAAAGAAGTCAAGTTCCTCAAAACTGAAAGTCTTCCTGCGTCCATCTAGGAAGATAGCCTCTTGGTGAATAATTATGAGTGTTACGTGGTCACTGCAATTTTTCAGCTCATGAAGATCTTAGTCATGTATAGCTTAAGACATCCGGGGGATTTTAATGGTGAATCACAAAAGCGTGAAACTACAGTTTATATCTGCATGTATCATCTTTGTAAAGTCTTGCCTTGATCTGTAAATCTGTTCGTAGTATTCATTTTTTATCCTAGTAATTGTGATTTGTAGCTCACAATTTTCTGCTTTGCTTTTGTGCAACAATATATTCTTGCTTCTGCATGATTCAATTGGCAAAGTGAAAATAAAACTTGACCACACTGAAACTTTTTGTTTGGATGCAAATCATGTACGTCAGTGTGCACAAAGGAAACTGGGGTTGTCCAAATGGCTGTGGGGTAAGAAACCCGCCAGTGGGCATCACAGGTGCCAGCGGGCACTGTCCTAACTGTGTACCTTTGGCCAGATCTCATTACAGGGTGACATTTAGGACCGTAGCCGTCCATGCCAAGTCAGCCCTCTGGATTGAGACAAATTATGTAGTTATTTTTTATGTCAGACATTAAGTCATATCCACTGGGAGCCAAATACGTATCACCTTCATGTCACCTGAAAAAAAAAAAAAAAAGATGAAAGGTGCAGATGTACAGAGTTACATAGATGCTATGTTCAATCTGATGAAATAACTGGCTTAATGTGCAGAACATTTTAAAGATTAAAAAACATGAATTAGCTATTTATTTCCATTCAAGATTCTTATTTAAGTCTAGAATTATAGATGCACTAAGAGAAGTTTTTTTTCTAATCAATACCAATTTTCATTTGTCCTTCAGGTCAGAGCTGCTGTTTCCTATTTTTTTTTTTTTTTGTTTGTTTGTTTGTTTTGTTAGGACAATAACAGTGAAAGGAGAAATAGCACTGTGTAAGGATTTTGGACAATAGGAAAAGTAAATAATAACTAAATCATCCCCAAATATACCTCAAACTATATGTTTACAATAAAACTGTTTTTAAATTCAATTAAAGGAAAATAAACAATATGAATAATATCAACTTATACATATTGTTGGATTTTGCATTTATAAACATGAAATCCTAGGAGTTTATAGGTTTGCATGAATTTAAGGAATAGGGGAAAAACTGTAAAATATCATTTAGTATTTGACTTGATTATCAAGGAGGAAATTAGAGATTTCAATGTCTCTGTTTTTCTTGTTTTTTTCCTTTCCTTCAACAAACATATTTTATTTTCCTCATAGCTCTGCCACTAGGCTCTGTCGTAATGTCCTAGATATTGTCTTCAAACTTTAAAAAATGTGAAAAATAAGTATTTTAAATTTCTGTAATCAACAATTTATTAAAAAATTAAATGCAAAATCTACAAGATCGTCCCAATATATATATCAAAGTATACAACCTAACTTCAGCTTTTATGAAACCCAAATGCAAAGTGCATTTAATTATTCACTGTTGGTTCATGTGCTAAAAGACCAAAAATAACAGGAGTTCTTCGTTTCAATGCCTTTAATGAACAGGACAACATAATTTGATTTTTTCAATATTTAACCTGCCAAACCCCATTCACAGTCAATCAAGGGAAATTGGAAGATTCTGATTTCTGTATACAATTGTTATTGTTGTCCATGTGTGCTTTTAGCCCTGTGTACAGTGCATATAAAGAGAACCTTGAGCAAATTACTGTGCTGTTTCTCTATTTTCTTTCTCTGAGCATTGGCAAACACTGTTTTGGTTTTATAATTATATGCCAATAGACACTATAATGATTCCTATAACAGGTCCCTGTGGGTTTAAATAAAAAACAGAACAAAAATTAGAATGAGTGAAAATAATAATCTTAAATTTGCTAAATGCAGCAGTAAAGAACAATAAGGATTCATAAAACATCCTGGATGTAACCACAGGGGCTTCATGCAATATTATGAAACAATGCACCTGCACCCCTGTTATATAATCACAGATAGTTTGATGCAAAACCTGAACCCAGACAGAAATACAACGATATCAGGTAATTTACAGATGTTGTGGATTGATTTAAATTCCACATTTTCATTTTAAATAGCATAAAAGCTTTCTCAAAAAATTGTATGATCTTTTAATCCTTCTTACTTATTCTTTCTATAACTTAAAGATTTTCCTTTGTGTTAGATGTTATTATATGAACAGAGCTAAAGCGCCATCTTGTGGACAAGCGCTACTATATCAACGCTTAGTCCAAACAGGTTTTACCTCATTACAAATCAAAGCTAAAGGAATGCATGGGATTTTAAAGAGGGCGACAAACAACATAATAATAATAATAAAAATATAGCAGAAATTAATTAGGTGAATATATTAGTGGGTAAAATAATTAAGTGTGGAAAAAAAATGTGAAGCAATCAGTAAAGATTTTATAGGTCTCTTGTTTTCTGAAGAAGAGTAATAATATGAGGATGTAATTATTATATCTAATAGCTACAATTAACCAGCATCACTAAGTGGGAAACTAGCAGAGACCGCATGCAATGAATCCAATGTGTTTGGATGTTTTCCTTTATTGGTTAAATTGCAATAATTGTTCTTTGTGTGAAGCTTCTAAACGTGCCGCATATTTTCTAGCCCAACTTCAGCACATAACGGAAAGAAATCAGAATTTAATTGCGCAAAGGTCTCACTGATGGGGACCATCTGTCAAAACAAGCTGCACATCCACTAATTCTAATCACAATTAATTAAACGGCTAACAAATTACATACATCACAGTTAATACAGGGTGGGCGACTAACCTCAGGAAGTGTTATGAAACAAATTAGTATTAACAATGAAAGAAAATTACATCACATAACTAAATATTACACTCGTTTCCGCAAGCCATATTTCTTAATGAATTCCCTAATTAATTTAATTCGCACAATGTGCATAATTTGGTGCTGAAATGTCAGTGGGTCAGACCAAACCATATTGTTGCGGGCCGGCTGTTTCTACGTGCGCCATATTAGCACAACATGACCTCTATGTAAATTGCACCGACCGAATGATGTAATTTTAATTAGCATGTCCCAAAGATATCATGTTACTACATTCAACTCATTTTTACACATCCTACTATCAACAGAATGTATGCACGGGATTTCATTTTGAGTTATTATTTTTGATTGCAGAGCTCATGATAGTTTTTAATGCACCTTTTATTAACTTTTTCAGCCAAGATGACTCACTGATAGCTGAAAGCTGAAGCTGGGGGCAGTTAGTATGACAGAGCCTGTTAGGCAAGCATTGACATGCAAATCACTACGGTATTTTAAATACAAGAAGGGATTTCCTCTAACAACATTTTAAACACTCATCCCAAATAGTCAATCTGTTGCTCTGAGGTCAACAATCACAATCAAACCTTTCAGTAATAACTTAGTTGAACAATAATCACTCAGTAAGTTTTAAAACCTCATCTCATTGGTACCCACAACTTGATTAATGGTTGTAAGATGGTTGTAAGAAGATAAAATTGGGAGTAAGACAAGAGTTGGTATTATAAGAGTCCTTACTACTTAAATTACCAAAATAAAACGTTACCAAAAACATTCCTCACAGCCATTTTTTTTACACTTGTTTTGCATGTACTGGTTTGTTTCACTCATTTGTCTTTTAATGTATAATCCCTATGAAAGGAGCCTGGTGTTCATTCTAATGTCACCTCGATATTAGCCTGTGTTTCCAACACAAACACCCCATTCAGTTTGCTGTATAAAAAACCCCCAGCCAAATCTACCATATTATACCACGAAGAGTGTGAATGCTGAAATCAGTGAATAAATGAATAAATTGACCAGGAAGCCTGTGGGTACTTTACAGGGCTTGGGGGCTATCCTGAGGCCAATCATTTAGCTAACACGCTAATGAAAGTGTGTGTAGTGTGGTTAAGGGCAGGCACCATGGGAGGTACCACTCCCCTCCCTCCTCATGTTGGGGACTATTAATAGGCTGGATGGAGCCACTGGTTCTCCCAAGAGAGGCCTGTTGATGAAGAGGAAAACCTGTCGTTGCCTCCACTAATCACTGCCTAATGGCTGCAGTAACACAGGTTTTACTAATGGGACTCTACGTGGGAATCTGCACAATGCAGAACTGGTGTAGTCACAGAATCCTAATCAACCTAAATGCTTATCCAAGGAGTATATGAAGCTGACTGACCTATATTTTGGACTGAAATGTGTTTAACAAAAATGGGAACCAAGAGTTATTATTTTCCATGACTTGAATTACTTTAAAAGCATAGTGTTAAAAAAAGATTTACTTTCCTCCTAATTTTACATAATTAAATTGGTAAATGGCTAAAAGAAGCTCAAAAACTTTGTTTTTTATTATTTTTTGATAAATCTGGTAAAATATAAACTATTTACAACTTCTCTGTTTTTGCATGCTTCTCAATAGTGTTGATTATGTGCAGAGTTTGAACGGATAGTAGGTCACACACTTTGTACAGACAACACCTTAAAATTCTCAGGGTTTTAGCAACACACCCAGAAAATAATTGAAATATCTTTGTGGAGTCACTGGATCCTTCTAGTCAAAACCCTTCCCAGTCAGATCTGGCGGGTCTAGAGCCAACATAGCTTTTCAACTCCCTCCTTGGTTTTCTTCACATCTACAGTGTTCATTTCCATCGCTGACACCCAGATGTATGTTTTTAATTAACCTATGTCCACTCTTTTTCCCCAACTCCCTTTGCAACTGCCTAATAGAACTCAAAACCTGGATGCCAGTATTTGCACTGTTCCTTGTATGTCTGATGTTTTTGCACATCAACACACCTACATGTAGATTTGGATCTTCATCTTCTATTCATCTTACCTTTCCCATTTTTTTGTCTTGCTACCATGGGGGCAAGAGTCTCCAGCCAATCTGCCCCCATCTCTGGAATTCCTTTCCATCTAAAACACATACATCTCCAACTCTCTCTCTTACGTGTTTAAAATAGCAGTTTTAAACAATATCATGATTGTTAGTACTATAAGTCATATTTTAAGTTTTAAAAGTACTTTGTTACTTTTAAAACTCTTGTATTGCTCTTGTTTTTACCCAATTGTTTATAATGCTAACTTATAAACTTATAAACACGTCACAGTTTTCTGAAATGTGTTTATGTAAATATGAATAAATCCATACAAGACAATAATTAGATTTTCTGTTATAAAGACCATGCTGTTGTTACACAGTATACCATGCCATCTTGTAATTTCATTTATTTCTTTTTGTTGACATTTTTTCTACTGCCTTTTTATTTGATAGTTTATTTTTCTTTAGTAATATTTTTCAAGTTATTGCTCTCCTTTCACTTGATATAGTTGATAAATTGCTGTGTTTAGATGCATAACTGTATTTATTACTGAAGGTCTACACTATTTACTATTATTAAAAAAAATGTTTCAGATCATTTGTAAAATAATAATTAAAATTTGATCAATTAAATGGAATCTAAGTGTTAAACCATCAGTGAAATGTCCGCAGTGTTGGACGGTTACTATTATTATTTTATTTATTTATTCATACTTCACATAGTCTATCATAATATTATCCCAGTGGTTCTTCTGGTTATTCTACATGTTGAGTAGTGTACTTCTTTGAGCAGGTTCAACCTGTTCTATAGAAAAGAAGAGAAACTCAGTTGTCATTGTCTATAAAAATGTTTTAAACGTATTACGCACATCCACACTTTCATGTCAGGAAAAGCATCCAGGCATTGTTTTCAACTGCATAAAGTCTGGTTAGTTAAGTGACTAAGAGAGACCTTTCCTTTGTTAATACTCCACCTAGACCAGGATGTGTTACGCGCGGTGGCCAACCTACTATAAAAATTTACACCGGTGATTTATGGCTGGTGGGTTGTTCTAAATGTGAAGGTGAGGCAAATGTTTGAAATGTCAAAGTGCTTCCGGTTAAGACTTTCAAATTAAGATAACTTTAAGTAAAAAAATAAAACTAAATCCAACCTCCATCACACTTGATAAATGAGCATAAAAAGTGTGGTGTATAGAAAATGACTCTTGCAAAATCAGTTAACGGTTTCCAGTTAGATAAGGTGCATTTGATTGCCTTATCTTTCCTTTTTCGTATTATTTATATCAGTTCATATTTTGAAAAACAGAGAAGAAAGCAGGAACAAGATGTAGTTAACTGGCATAATAAAATATGTTTAAGTTGTAAGTGCAGCAGCAGAACATTTCTAAATGTAAAACATGCAAAATTGTATTCAAATAAAGACTTTAAATGCCTTCGATTTTGATAAATCGATCTTCTACAGTGAACACATTACTTCCTTCTGATTCTGCTTCTGACAGAAAAACAAAATACATTTCTAACCAAATCAATTTAAATTAATTAAAAGTTTTAATTAAACATGAGCTATGTACACTAACTGAATAATCTTACCTGTGCACTTTGAAATGAAGGTTTTACGGCTGTTGCTAAATTCTGACTCCTCTTCACCAAGAAGTTGTCATATATTCATTTTCCTGAAAAGCAGAATTGCTGTATTAGGTCATTAAACATGAGTGATAGAGTAAACGAGTTAATAAAACACAACAATTTTTACAGGGAGATCTGTGTAAAAATACCAATTATTAAAATAACAGTTGTGTTAGAGCTTTTAAATTCAGGAGTGATTATGGTTTTGGAAGTGGTGGTTTGCTAAACTGAGCAGCTAAAATTTTACCTGCAGTCTAGGCCTCTGTTTAGTTATTTCAAACCGGTGTAACTGTCATATTAAATGAAAAAGATTTAAGATTAACTAAAAATTTGGTCAAAGCAATTACCAGGTAAATGCTTTAACAGTCATTGTCTTTCAAACTTTTTGAAGGACAGTCATTGGTGTCAGTCAAGACACCAGGGGTTAGCTAATAGCTAACCCTGGGTTAGCTATTAGCTTCAGCCTCCGCATCAAACAAATCAGGAAGACACCACGATAGCTATCGACTGTACGTAATATATTACTGCATTTCATAGAAACTCACCTCAAAAATCATGAACTGTGCCTTTAACTTAAACACGGTGAGTTTTACGCTGAAGGAGCAGCACCGCGCTTCCTGTGTCCTTCCACCTTTCTCCGGATATTTTCCAGGATCTTGGAGGCCAGACTTCCCCGATATCTCGTCCAATCAGAGCACTGACAAAGTAAAACTCAGTTGCTACGTCCTCATACAAAAATATGTCTGTTAAAGAAGTTGGGAGTCGGCAAGACGTCGCTACAGAAGACTTTTTAGGTGAGTTTTTATTAACTTGGACCGATTTGTTGAATCTTTCGTCTTGGATATGACGTTTCCGGGTGGCTGGACGTGACAGGAGCGGGACGGTATGGAGGGATTAAACCCACTTTGTGTCGCCTGACTGTTGTCAGACTCTGCTGGATGTCTTGACTGATAGCTCTGGCTGCTCCCGGTTCTCCGTGATATACATGCCACGCAGGCACGTAACTTCCTCAAAGTTTGCACAGAAGTATTTCATTTCAAGAATGACACTTTAACACATGTAGGTTTGCTTTCAAACACCTGAAAATGATGAAGGTTAGAAGATACCTGCGGGGCAGTGGGAGGGTGCTCGCCTTCGTGTTTGTTGCTTCAGTGATTTGGCTGCTGTTTGACATGGCAGCTCTTCGCATGTCCATAAACGACGTGAACAGCCAGTTGGTGAAAGAGAGGGTGATCCGAGAGAAGGAGATCATGATGATGAAGAAACAGCAGCACCAACAGCAACATATTGTGGTCACGCAGGCAAAAAGGAGGGGATTCAGACACCCAGTGCAGAGGGTGACACGTCCTGGGAATATACAGCAGAGCCCCAACCTCAATCTGGACCACATCTATAGACATAAACTGAATCCAAAGTTTGAGGTCAAGCAATCTAATCAGAGACAGGAAGGTCGCGATTTCAAAAGTGACAACTCTAAATCTGCTTTATCTAACCAAAACAATGGAGAAAGCCTTCCTAAGAAGAAGGCAGTGAACTTGGATTTAAACGTAGCAGTGGCCAGTGTGACTCAAGTGCAACCAGCTGTTGAGACAAACAGGCCAGTTTTAAAGACAGAACTTAATAAATCTGCTCAATTTGCACACAAACCTTTAAAAGAGAAGGAATTAAAGACGGACGAAAAGGCTGAGAAGGATCTAATTAAGCATGGAATAAAAGTGAGTCATCCTACGGCAGAGGAGGCACACCCTGTTAAGACAATATCTCAGCAAACACCCGTCAAGGATGTTAACGGGAAGGAGGACGTGAAGCCAAAGATCAACCTGCAAGCAGGGGACAACTCCAGCGCCGTCAGGAAACCAGGCGTCCACAAAGTGCTTTCTCTGGACGCGACCCACGCCCCCAGAGACCCCAATGCTGTCGGCCAGTTCGGCCAGCCGGTGATCCTTCCGGGTAGTAAAAACGCAGAGGTGATGAAGAGATGGAACGAGGGCCACTTCAACGTCTACCTCAGCGACCAGATCCCAGTGGACCGTGGCGTTCCCGACACCAGGCCGGAAACGTGAGTACTCTGTTCTGTCCGGCGTTTCAACAGAAAAACGGCCCTGCCGGCTCCATCTGAGTCGTTTGTTCGGTTTCCAGGTGTGCACAGAATCTGGTCCATGACGATTTGCCCACCACCACTGTGATTTTCTGCTTTGTGGACGAGGTGTGGTCCACTCTCCTTCGCTCTGTCCACAGTGTTCTCAACAGATCTCCACCGCACCTCCTCAAGGAGATTATCCTGGTTGATGATGCCAGTACTAAAGGTAAGACCCTCACCGCTAACTATAATCTATCAAATTTACTCTCACAACAATAAGCATTTCAGCACTTCTTAAAATAAATTTCCTGCATTTAGTGTAACATTCGTCCTTGGATCTTACTTGACACTGATGGGTTTTTTTAGACTATCTGAAGAAGCAGCTGGATGAGTACATGTCACAGTTTCCCAAAGTGCGAATCATTCGTCTAAAGGAGCGACAGGGCCTGATCCGAGCGAGACTGGCTGGAGCAGCAGTTGCCAAAGGTAAAGATGCTACATCGTTCATGAGAATATTTTTTTCTAACTTTAAGGTTTAATCAAAACAGTTACACGTCATTATCACAACTAAGGGGAGTTTGAGATTAAATTGTTCATAATCCTAGACGTTTTGTCACATTAAAACCACAAACTTCAGCACATTTTACCAGCACTTTATGTGATTGGCCAACACAAAATAGAGCAGAACTGTGTACAATCTGAAAAAAGTGTGACATGCATCCTCCTGAGTACCGGCTTTGCATATCTAGAGGCTTAAAGGTTTGTATAAACTTTGCAAAACAGCTCAGCCTAATTGAGATTGAAAACATTGCAACATCAGATTAGACTGCATTAAGAACATTGTCCTGCAGGAAGGAGAATCTCAGGTCTCAAGTCTTTTGCAGCCTGAAACAGGTTTTCTTTGTGGCTTGTCCTGTTTATTTTCATCCATCTTCCCATCAACTCTGACCAGCATCCTGCTCACCCTGCTTAAATAAAGCATCACCACAGCGTCATGGTGCCACTGCTTTGTTTCACAGTCGGGAATGGTGCCTTTAGAAGGTTCTCACCCCAGTTCTCTGCCACACGTTATGAATGTAGGTCACAAAGTTCAAATTCGGTCTCATTTTTGATCTCGTTTAACCACGTGTGGCAGACTTTTTGCCAAACGCAGGCTGTGTTCTCTACATGGCTTAGGTCAAACTGCAAGCAAAACCTCCCTCTTTTTAGCTTTCTTTCAACAATGTCTTTTTTTCTTTTTTTTTTGCCATTCTTTCATAAAGACCAGATTTGCAGCATGCACAACAAATAGTTGCCCTGTCAACTCACTCTCTCACCTGAGGTTTGCATTTCTGCTGCTCCTCCAGAGCCACCATTGACTCCTTTGCTGCTGATTACTGCTCTCTTCTCATGCCCTGTTGGTTTAGGTGAACAGACCTGCATTGTCATGCAAGACATTTTGAAGATGATGTATCATTTTCCTTGAATTATGCACTACTTTGGGTTGATCTGTCGCATAAAATCCCAATAAAATACATTGAGGTTTTAATTGAATTGCTATCTGATCATAAATCACCTGCAGTCACACAACCATATGTTTGCAGGAACAGAATAGCTACACGTCTCTCATGTGCTAAAATTGGATAGGAGCATATAAATGAATGTCACAAGGTGACATGCCTTATGCCTTTGATCCATAAGGCATGTCACCTTATGCATCAAAGGCATAAGGCATGTCACCTTGTCAAAGCAGACTTCCTTATGTATTTGTCCAAGCTGTCTCTGCATAGTTGTAAGGTGTGGGCATGAGTGGTAGATTCAGAAAATCAACAAGATCAATACTACAGTAATACACAATTTTAAAATATGTGTATTACGTAGAGGCCAATATTGACTTTAACTGAAAATAAGTGTTTGTTTTCGTTTAATGCAGGCGAGGTTCTTACCTTTCTTGACTCCCATATTGAATGTAATGTGGGCTGGCTGGAGCCGCTACTGGAGAGAGTCTACCTGGATCGCAAGAAGGTGCCTTGTCCAGTTATCGAAGTCATCAGCGATAAGGACATGAGGTAACTAACTTACCGTAAATTGGATTTGAGATTAGCAATACTCTGCATTTAAATAAGAAATATCTTTTGTATTTGACCCAGTAAAAAGTGTGACTTTGTGTTTATTATCCGCAGTTACATGCTCGTCGACAACTTCCAAAGAGGGATTTTTAAATGGCCTTTGGTGTTTGGCTGGAGCCCAGTACCAGAGGATGTCATTAAAAAGAACAACATGAAAGTTACAGATCCAATCAGGTATTGTCCTCACCAACACCTTTCTGTTCTTTATATTTCGCATTTAGTTTTGGCCCTATTAGGCATGTTTTACATCCTTCTGTTTCCCTGAACTCTTATCAGGGTAACAGAACTCTGCATCTCTTCTGCTTTTTGTTGTGTGCTTCTTGATTTTCATAGAGAGCCATTACCAGTAAATGCCTTCTTTGGTATTTCTGCTCTGAAAAGAAAAGTAATAAAATGACGAGGTGCACGACAACAGCTTTCTAGTATGTAAATCTTCACAATTTGCGTAAACCGTAATATTGGTTGATATTTACAAACACAACCACTGGACAACTTTATTTATGGCAACAAAGGAGGCAGGCATCTGAAAACAGTAAGATCATAATTTTAATGAAAAATGTAATGAAAAATTATTTTCAGCAGTGCAATCATAACCACTGATTTACAGCACCTTCACTCTAATTTATTTAACATCATTCTAAACTATTATAGCAGATGCTCTGTGAAACAAAATGAAGATTTCCATGCTTAGATATCTATGGAGATGTGCTTTGTTTTTATCCTTTTATAGAGGTATTTGAAACTGGGGGAGTGGGGGTAAAGAAATACCCCCAGAAAATTCCTCTGTTTTCTTGAAAAGATTCCTGCAGGAAAACCATTTGGCTCCACCTCATCTTTCAGGTGTCCAGTTATGGCAGGTGGCCTTTTTTCCATTGACAAAAAGTATTTCTTTGAGCTCGGCGCTTATGATCCTGGTCTGGATGTGTGGGGTGGAGAGAACATGGAGATTTCATTCAAGGTGAAAATCCCTTTTGTTTTTGGCTCTCTGAACTGTGGTCACTCTATTTCTGTCCACTTGGCTCCAGCTGCTTGAACAATGTTGCCATTTTAAAACAGATCTGGATGTGCGGAGGAGAGATCGAGATCATCCCCTGCTCGCGCGTGGGACACATTTTCCGAGGACAGAATCCCTACAAATTCCCGAAGGACAGGCAGAAAACAGTGGAGCGTAACCTGGCGAGGGTGGCCGAGGTTTGGCTGGACGAGTACAAAGACCTTTTCTATGGCCACGGGTACCAGCACCTGCTGGATAAAAAGGTCACCGACATTGGCAACCTCACAGAACAGATTGAGCTGAGGAAGAAGCTCAAATGCAAGAGCTTCAAGTGGTACCTGGATAACGTGTTTCCGGACATGGATACTCCCGCAGTCAAAGCTGAGGGCCTGGTATGTGGTTGAGTTCAGAGAGAGTGCTGTTTGTAAAGTTTTTATCAGATGAAGCTGATTATGCTGCTTTGCTTCATGAAGGTTCCGTTGACCTTTTCATCAAAATAATCAAAATATCTTTGCAGCACTGCAGTTTTATATCTCTGAAAGTTTGATTTTATTTTCTAGGTCTTCAATCGGGGCTTGAGAAAATGCCTCGCCCTGCAGAAAGACTCTTTGTCCTTTGAGATCTGTGATCTTAGTAATCAGGTAAGAGTAGTTTTGTCTTTGATCTTTATGTTACTGCAGATTTTAGAAAATGTTTTTGCAGTTTTTACTCGTAATCTTTCTGAGGGGAAGATATTTTTGAATTAATTGCAAGTTTGTGGCCGTAGCATAACAAAAAGAGAATTTGCTTACGCAAATGCATTCAGAGTCTGAGCTGGGAACAAAGCCATGACAAACAAGGGTGGAGTTCAACAGACAGAGGCTTTCTAAATCTGATGCTTTTGGATTCAGAGCACCCTCATTGAGGCATTTCTGAGTAACTAATTGTCTTCATGGTGTACAGCACTGGGATTGTGCAATAAACACAGTGCTTTGCAAAAAGTATTTATACCCATTAAACCTTTTTACTGTGTCAACTCTCAACATATGAGATAGAACAACACAAAATAGTTGCATGATTGTGAAAGATAAGAAAATTATACTTTTTTGTTACATTTCTTATTAAAAAAAACAACATATCATGCATTTATGTATACCCTTCTTTGAACATTATGGATAAACTGTTCAGAAAATAGGCTAGTAGGTGAATCTTTGTGAATAATTTGCATTTGGAAATCCACTAACAGGTGTATATTTGAATACTGAACCATAAATACTGTAATCCTGGAAGAAAACCTGTTGGATGGCACAAAAGACTTGAATCTGAAGCCGAAGTTTGTCTTCCAGCAGGACAACAACCTTAAACATGGAGTGAAAGCTGCAGTCTAATGGTTTGGATCAAAGCTTTTTCACGTGATAGAATGGCCTAGTCACAGTAAGGACCCAATCCAATTAAGAATCTGTGGCAAGACTTGAATATTAATGTTCAAAGACACTCAATCCAGTCCGAGTTTCAGCCATTTCCAGTGAAAAATCTGTAAAAAAAAAAAAGTTTGGTGGTTAAAACCTAAGGAATTGTTGCTTTAATCACAACAAAAGGCAGTTTTACAAAGTGTTGACTCTGAGGAGCTAAATGCAATTAGATTTAAATCATTTAAATAATGTTTTTTCATCCAGATTACAATTATTTTTGTGAGTTTGTATTCATTTCTTACATAAAATACACTGAAGTTTGTAACGTGAGAAAAATTTTAGATGTTATCAAAACTTCTCCAAGGTGTTTTAAGAACTTTGACAACACATTAACTCTTCCCTTTTTTATTCCTTGTATTTCAGAATCAGCAATTTAATTACACCTGGATGAAGAGCATTCGACACCAGGACCTCTGTGTTGCTGCCCAAAGCACAGGAAGTGGCTTCGCTTTGGTGCCATGTGACAACACCAAACGTGAACTCCGCTGGTCCTACAAAACTTCCAACTCGGCTCTAGTAAGTTCTCTATGCACACTGCCGCTGTAGTGGAATTAAAGACGTACTTACTGCTTTGTTTATTAATTGTGCTTCCTCTTTTGTGCTTGCAAAGACGGAACATCTCATCTCGGAGTTTGTTCCCAGCCACATGTGCCTAGAAGCGGAACCTCGGGATGACTCTGTCCGTCTGCGTCCATGTCAGCCCAGCAGCGTCTTCCAAAAGTGGGAGTTTACACGTTACCACCTCCAATGATGAGTTTAACGACACTTTGTGGAAACATCCACTGGCTTTACTGCGTAAACTGTGGTCCAGCCGTCACACCTGGACTGACTGAAGCGGTTCAGTGGAAGAAATGTGCATGAATATCCATCAGCTGGTGTGGGTTGGTTGCTAGAGGATAGCAATCTCATTTAACACACTGGGAGTGTTTTTTTTTAAAAAAAAACTGGGATTAAAATTGAGATCTGTGGAAAAAAAAAATTCCCAGTTTAATAGTGCCTCAGATTTTGCTTCTTCATAGACTGAATAACAAATGAAGAATTTATTATTTTACATTAAAAAAGTGTGGGTTACAGGGTGTGGTGTAATTTATGCTGCTTATTTGGGGTTAAATGCCTTATCCTTTTGATCTGATTTAAAACTCTCAATGGTATGATTTCTTTTCTTAACACTAGGGGGGAGTGTTGGTTCAGATGCCTAAATAAACCTGTGTTGTGACGCAAACATTTTATCCAACTGTTGAACTCTTTTTGGCCAAACTAATAGAATAATCATCTTATAATGAATATAAAACAGTCATAAAAATCTTGCTAGAATTCTTTATTTTGTTTAGTCTTTAGCCATGATGATGATGGATAGAACAGATTTTACTCCTAAAAATGTCACAGTGCAACTCTTGCAAGTTATTGAAGCTGTACTTTAAAAAACTTCCAATTCATATTTTAATTTCACTCTTTATACTTACAAAATCCAGTGAATATGACATATCGGCAGAAATATTGTACTGACGTGGGCTTTTAAAACATTATCTGATTTTGTTTTTCTTCTAAGTATTATTAGGACGTGTTATTCAAGTCTTAGTAAGTCAACTGTAGTGTGTAGTATCGTTCTATCCAGATATAATATTTGAACTGGTTATTTGCCTGCCTCAGTTGTGGCTTTTAAGCACAGCTCATACCTTGTCTACAAGGCCATTGCATTAGCTAAATCTGCTTAAGATTTTTGTTTTTGTGGGATACACATCTACATCCAGATTTTAACTATCTGACCTGAACTGCTTCCTCCAGTGAAAGAAAGTTGGCTTGGACATTCACGAACCCCCCAGGCTCAAACGTAAGAGTAATAGTCCAGAGTAAAGCCAGTTTAACAGTAGAATGATCTGAGGCGGTGTCGACCTAGAGGGAACCGTCTGCTCCAAAATCAGCACCAAACATCTTCTGGAGAAAAGTTTTATGATCAAAGACTGAGTAATTTTTTTTTTCAACAAAAGTATGTTTGGAGGAGTCGAGGTGAGGCTTTCACCCGATACTGATCCATTCACTGGCTAGCATGATGTTGGCAGCATCATACCATAAGATCGTTTGTGCACAAAGTTGATGGGTAATGAAGAAGTGTAGCTCCAATATCCTTAATTCCTGATCAAATCAACATACAGTTGAAACTCAAACACGACTTAAATGTCTCAGCAGAACGACAATCCTAACCGCATCCGAACTGGTTAAAAGAGGCTAAACCATGTCTGCCAAAATGCCACACTGACGCCGGAAGCTTCTGAATGGCCACAAAAAGGATGTAGCATCTGAACTTTTATGAAACGTGTGTGCCGTTCATATGTGTATTTGAGCATCTGCTTATAAATTTGACCCAGAAAATCCTCAGTAAATTCAAACGTGTGCCTAATACTTTCTTTTTTTTTTCTTCTGTTTTTTAATCATTGCAGTTTGTTGTATGATCATCTCTTTGGTTCAAATAAACCATTCAGATCCCCAAATTAGTATAACATACATATCCACAATAAATAAATAACAGCAATGTTAGGCATTTCTCAAACATAACGGCATTAAAATAGATTTAGGAGCGTCACAAATGTAAGTATATTGTGAATATCATCTTGGGTTTCTGAAACTACTGACATACATTTCACATTTCAGAGCTGGAACACTTTGTAAGCTAGTTGTAGTCATGTGTTTGGCCCTTCATTTTATTTTCTTAATAGATTTGAAAAGCAGGTTATTTTTTACTCGTCAGCAGGAACTCAAACTCCTCTATCCTCTGTCGCGTGTTGCCTCTGCGGATCCTGCGGTAGGACACGGTGCTGTATTTGGAGGAGGAGAGGTGGTTGAAGGCGCTGCAGTCAGACTGCGTTGGCCCAGGCAGGTTCAACTGACCTTGGCTGGGGTATTGCAGGAAGTCTGCTTCCACATCTCCCTCAGGCTGCATGTCACTTGATTTCTGGCTGTCAGCACCAGACAGTCTTTGAGGAAATTCTGCATCCCCATTCAGCTTTATATAACCGTCATTGTTGAGTAAGTCAAACAGGTGTCGATTTGAGGTGTCTGCTTCTGTCATCACTTCCTCTTTCTTAACTTGGTCCGCTGAAAAAAAAGAAGCAAAAGTAGGCATTTGTAAATGCAAATGTTGAAACATTTGTTTTCCCGAGACTTTTAACAATATCATACCATTTGATGCTGCTTTATTTTGCTGCACAAACTCTCCAGAAGTTTTCCCAAACTTTCCAGGAGTGACATAAGACTCTGCAGATGATTCCCCAGGGTCTGAAACATGCATTCTTTTAGTAGTAAATGTCTCAAGCTTCTGCTTTTCCTCTTCAGTCCAGATGATGCACTGGTCCAATTCCTTCTTCATCTCCAAGTTTCCTTTCTCTCCTGGATTAGTCTCCATCTGTTGGTTGTCTTCACCATCCGCCACACTGTTAAAAAGATTTCTGCACCTTTTGCCACTGAAGCCAGGTAAATTGGCAGATTCCTTGTCCAACTGAGCGTGCTCCTCATCGCTGTAGAACACCGAGTCATCTCCCATCTCCATTGACCAAACTTCTCTGTCCTCAGACTCTTCTGTCACTTTTGAGGGGTCAACAGTTCTCCCATTAATAATCTCCAGTATCTTGGAAGCTTGCGCATCTTCTTCTTCTTCATCAGCTCTGAGTTTTGATTCGTTTGAAAGAGTTGTTGCCATCGTCTATGATTCTGTTTGTTGAATCTAAAGCTAAACAAAAACAGTCACGTCTTCCTCCAGCATGTTGTTGTCGTTCATTAAAGAGCGAGGAAAGCGTCCAGCCCACAGTTGATTCGGGACGGGTCTGCATGGTGCTCTCTAGCGTTTGTACCATGGAAATCTGTGTGTTTTGTTGACTCACTGAAGAACAGGGGTTTTGTTGTGGCCCAACAAAGGTTCATTGTGGTGAAACCAGCTGTATATGGAGCAATTGTTCTCGTTCTTAAAACTCAGCTTTCTGTAAAACTTAAAAGTCTCACTTAGTATTAGTATACATCCCCAAACATGACTGTGACTTAATGTACATTGTTACACTGCAATGTTTCTTCAGCTTTTAATAAGGTTGGGGCCTTAAGTTTTTCAACCACTCAGATTTTAACTTGTTATTCAGTAGACTCACAATCAGAATAAATTCCAAAATAATTTCATGCAGTAGTTAGAGAAACAGGCAAAAAAAAAAACAAACGTCCCACATATTCTACCAATGCTATTCAAAAGGGCAGGATTAGCTAGCGGGGCTAATTAGCAATAAGGCTAACAGGACCATAAAACTGCATATGGCGACTTAGCTAGTAGGGCAATTAGCTAAGGCTAACTGACTCGTTCAACCATACCAATAACATGAGGTGGTTAAGCTAGCACGGAAGCCAACAACACGATCAATGACTCACCAATTCCGTCTCGAAGGTAAGTCCTCTCACCTCATACTGTAGGTATTTGATAATTAGCTCGTGCAATCAACATTCGACATACTAAGTTTTAAGTGCTACCTCATAAAAATAAAGCAACGATCATTTTGAGAGCCACTGTGAGCATCTTCATTATCAAGCACAGCATGATGTAGTCCAAAACTACTTCAATGACGAGAAACGAGTTTCTTGTTTGTGGAGAGGTATCCATCTCTCCAGAAAACATTTTTCTACATTTCTTGACTGATTTGCCTTTGCAAAACTTCTGCTTTTTTCACACATTTCTCTAGAAGAGGTCTGAAAACAGGGCAAGGTTTCAAGGTGAACTGTATGCTTTTTATCCACTTCTTTGTTGCTTTGGGGGTATTTCTTTGATCACGGCCATGCTAGTGTCCACTTTTTGTGTCTGACGGTAGTTCACATATGTTTGATGGCCTTGTCTGTTGGCCTCATAATGAGGTGAAATCATTGTGCACACTGATCGGAAAGTTATCCACAAAGCATAATGCTTTCTCCTCTATGTGTGATGATTGCTCTTTTGATCAACCTCAGCATTTCTCTTCCTCCAAACATGGTGGGTCAAGTCGACGTTCAAGAGCTCGATTTTGGTTTCATTTGACCGTAGAACTTCATTTCTTCCTTTCTCTGAGTGATTTCGCAAGCACTGGTAAGCAGAAGACATAATTATACGTGTGCCTTCAATGGGTTGCAAGATTTTGAGTCATTGCAGCGTCATGCATGGCCAGCAGTGTTCTTGGTTACTGAAAGTTGCTGTGTTACTTTCTTCAGATCATTAACAGCTTGTAAAGTTTCAGGCTAACCATCTTATTTTCAATATTCATCATCTTTACCATGGGAAGCAAGATTTTGCATTGAGATTAAGAATTAGGACAAGTGTAGTCAATGCTATGCCTTTTTTAATAAATGGATTAATAAAAAAAAAAAATCAATATTGCAGGCTTGTACATCTCTTGTTAGCTCTTTGGTGGAGAAATGTGAAAACCAGAAGATGTGGGCAGACATGTTTGGTGCACAAAAGGTATGTTCAGGAACATCCGTAGTTGACTGAATGATGGATGTGTGTGTCTCATGGGCACATAAACAATGTGTGGAACCAGAATTCTGGTTGGGTAGTGTTGGGGTCAAATGCTTACATCCCTAAATTAAATACAAATACATTGTATTTTTGTTTGTTGTTTTTTGTCCAGTATGTTTCTATTCTTTCTTTCAGCAGTAAGATAAAAGTGCAATGAAAAATAGAAACAGCAACTCTGTTTTTAACTTTGCAAACTTACAGATTAAGCAAGGGATTGGATTTTTATCTCTATTGCTGCATCATCATGAACTGGTTTCAAGAGAAAAATGACTCAGGTTGGGTTATCATGGTTTCTTGGTGCCCAGTAACAGTTAGTCTCTCTTTATCTGTTCGACTGCAGCAGGAAACAGGTAAGAAGTCTGCTTGTAATTTTAAAGAACCGCTATTGGCTGCTTCTAAGTAACCAAAATGATTTGCATATTATGCTTGCACACGTAGTTTGTCTGTCTTTTCTTCCTGTTCAGTGCGTAAGCAGTAAAAATAATTGTGGCACATCAAGCAGTGCATAACAACTGTGTTTATTGATTAAAAGCCTTTTTACATATATACAATCTTGAGTGAAAAAAATAAAGCGTATATCAAAAACAAAATATTTTCAGTTGCTTTCACAAACGTACAGTGAAGAAATTAGGAAAGCAGTTGCACTGCTTCTGTGGACCGAAAGTAAGTTGTATCCTTTTGTGTCTGAGAGTAATTTTGGA